TCATTTGGATGTACCCATCTATTTAGCCTAACCCGGACCCTTGCAAATAACCCACACCCGAATCGAGATCTTTTCCCGTTCTTTGTTACTTCATCTCCTTCTAAAATCTTCCTTCCGAAGCAACTAAATCCAGCAAAAGTAACACTTCTCAATACTCAAAACTTCAAAAATAGATGCTAAGTGATTAATGTTCGACTAAAAGTAAAAGCCCGATTTTCCTATATATTAAATAAAAGTAGAGTAAAACATTAAAAAGAAATTGATGAACAGACTGATGAATTTGTTCTTGAAGTTGGTGAATAATGGTGGTCTCTATTTCTACACTTGTAACAGTGATTGGCCTTCAAACCATCATTTTTGTTCTTGCTCGAACGACATTTTAGCACTGTATCCTTTTCAACTTTTTTTTTCTGTTTTTTGTTTTGTTTTTGGGTACAGATAAAGTTGAATTGTTTTTGGTTTTTATTTGTGANAAAAGGTAAATTTTCGTAAGTCTTAAAACTGAGCGATAAAACGAAGAATATACTTGTGATTTTCATGATTCTTTCGTGGTTAAGAAAGGGCTAGCTAGCACAATTGCTACAACAAGAGAAGACCGAATGATATAGCTCATTTTTGTGGTTTGTTTGTAAGATCCGGATTCGGGTGTGGGTTATTCGTAAGGGTCTGGGTTAGGCTAAATAGATGAGTATATCCAAATGAGTATATAGCTTCCACGTGTCTCTTTGGTTGTTGGGTCCTACTACTCTATTAGAAATGGGGCATTTTTATTTAAAAGTCTAAAGGCAAGGGTATATAAAGTCGGACAGTATAATGGAGGGCAAATATAAACAATATTTGAAAGTAGAGGGACATATATGACCCTTTATCATTCTTAAAACTCGAACTAAATTTTGATTAAATATAGGGGAAAGGGTCAGATATACCCTTGTATTATTAAAAATTGTCCACATATGTCCTCCGCTATACTATCGGTCTAAATTTATCCCTCCCGTTAGCAAAGTAATAAAAAAATACCCTTATTTTTAATGGTGCTCCACCATGGCAATCCAAATCCTACATGGTCTGGCATTTGGGTGAGGTGGATGTCACGTGGCATGCCACCTCACCATCTTCCCCTTCCATTTCTTCTTCCCCTCATACCTTGAAATGGAGGTTCCAAATTTATTTTCTTTTAAATTTGGACAAAATTATTGTTAATTTCCGAATCTAACGCGAATAAATGATTTCCAAAAGACTTAAAGAACAAATCACAAAACCCAATGACAAAATTATCTGAAGTTTTTCCCTTGTGAGAGGAGATTGATACAAGTTTGGAGAACCAAATTTGCTCAATACCTATTTATACCTAAAGCTTATTAACACATGTATTCCTTGGCCGAGTTAAATCATTGAAGTAAACATTTGCATCTTCACTTCCAGCAACTTCAATTGTTAGAAGAGATAAGTTTTTTTTGCTATCTTGCCTGTTTTGTTGATTCATAGTGGTAGAGAATAATCTCTTTATATATATATATATAATGAAGATTTGGGAAATAAAGTTATGTTCAGTGGAAGGAGAAGTGGTTAATTAAATGAGCTCACAGAGAAGACTTTAATCTTTATTTGCTTAAGATTTGATTTTTTTTCCAGAATGACAAAGAATTATCTACACATTGCTCAGATTTTGTTTTTGGGAATAAAATGGGCCATATTTTTGTTTGCTAGAAGAAATGGAAGGAGAAGAAGATGGTGAGGTGTCATTCCACGTGGCATCCACCTCACCCAAATGCCAGAGACCATGTAGGATTTGGATTGCCATTGTGGAGCACCGTTAAAAATAAGGGTATTTTTTATTAGTTTGCTAACAGGAGGGATAAATTTAGACTGATAGTATAACGGAGGACATATGATAATTTCCCATTTCGATGTGTCAATATACAGTTAATTTATGTTATACTCTTTCTATCCAAGTTTATTTATCTACTATATATTGATTTAACATATTCCTTAAGAAACAATAATTAATATAATAATTTTACTATATCATCCTTAATTATTATTATTAAAAAATTAACTTTGACTATTATAAATCTAGAATATTGGTAAATAATAAGGGTAAAATAGGTATCAATGGCAAGGTAAGCTATCCCCAGCTATTATAAGTTAAATACATTGATTATGTATAGATTTTAACATGGAAATCAGTGGGAATTTGGGATTTGAAGAAAAACCTAGAAAATTGGTATCTTTGGATTTTAACCACGAATTTTGGTATGGAATTGAGAGTAAATTATATATTTGAGCTCGTGAGGTTATGAGTAAATTTTATCTTTAAAATCCGGGGCACGTGGGCCCGAGGGCGATTTTGTTAACTTTTCGAGCGGAGTTGGGAATTTATATAAATTGAATTATTATAAGTACTAGGGTATATTTTTATTGGTTTGCCCATTATTTGGCTAGTTTTGGAGCGTTGGACATCGATTTGAATCGTTGGAAGGGCTTAGAGGCCAGTTATGAAATTTCGAAGCGAGGTAAGTCTCCTTTCTAACCTTGTAAGAGAGAATTATTATCATAGGTGAAATAATTGAACATGTGCTTCTATTTGTGGGGGTTACGTACGCACAAGGTGATGAGAGTCTGTACGTAGCTACTATTATGCTTAAGTTCGGATAGTCTAGGACCCAAAAGCATGCTTACTTGCCGTACTTGTAAATTTATTGACAATTTAAAAGCTTAAATCATATCGAACTTGGTAATCAAATTTCTAAAGGGCTAAACAACATTTTCTTGACTGTTAAAAGAGAAGTTGTCATTCCCTTGGGTAATTGTTTTCCTGATGTAGTCTTGATTGACTGTTTGAATGTGTGTATATATGTGTACCAGCGCCGCATATATGATTCGCGAGTGGGGTAATTTCTTTATTTATATTTGACCACGTCGCATGTATGATTCGCGAGCGGGGTAATAGATGCATCTATGGTTCGCGTCATTCGATCCTTTGGCAGTACACATTTTATTATTTTATTGGATCTGGTCGTACGACCTCGGCATGATTTGAGCATGCTTGTATTGCTTGCCTTAAGATTTACAAAATTTGATATTGCCTCTCTAGCCTGAGATAAATTGATAAATGGAAACATGAATTTTTGGAAATCTATTACGATTAAAAGAATTGTTTGCCTGCTTCTTGATTAAATAAGTTTATAGACACTTTACAAAATTTATGATTTTCCACATTATTGATATTTTATTATTGGACCACTAGTATGTATCGAAGTCGACCTCTCGTCACTATTTCTTCGAGGTTAGACGGGATATTTACTGGGTACGCGTTATTTTCGTACTCATACTACACTCGCTGTGCGTTTTTGTTGCACAGGTACATGTATTTTAGTGGCCTCGTTGGGCGCAACGGCATGGTTGATACGGAGACTTAGGTGAGCTGCACCTCTCGAGACGACCCACAACCAGCAGAGTCTCCTTCAGAGTATTGTATTTTTTTTTGTTCTATTTGTATTTCGGACAGTCATTGTATTATATTTTATTCCTAGAAATTGCTCATGCACTTGTGACACCGGGTTCTGGGATGATTATGGGATTCTTCAGTATTTACATTGTAAAGACATCATTATTTACTCAGTGAAGTTCATTATATGTTGATTAATGTAAGGAAAAGAAATGATTTCAAAAATACGAAAATGAAAATTTAATTAGCTTCTTGGTGTTGGCTTGCCTGATAGTGATGTCTGGCGTCATTACGACCTTTAATGGATTTTGGGTCGTGACAATAAATCTAGAATATTGGTAAATAATAAGGGTAAAATAGGTATAAAATTGTAATTTATTCATTAGTTTTTTAAATTGAACAAATAAAAATAATATTTATTTTTAGTATAATGGATAATTAAACTTGAACGTGAGTATTACATAAAATTTCAATAAAGTAGATCACTTGAAGTACTTTACAAGGAAAACGAAAAGAAAAAAAGAAGATGTAGAACTCATAGCACCTTTATTTCCTATCGTTGCGGCAAAAGAAAACTCATTTACGAGGATTTAATGAATTGTTTGGCATTTATTGACTATCATTTTCCTCAAGTTCATTTATGAGCATAAGTAGTTATAAGTCCGTTTGAATTGGCTTATTTTAAGTGTTTTTAAGCCAAAATAATTTTTAAGTCATTTTGTAGTGTTTGAATAAAGTAAAAAAGTGCTCTTAAGCACTTACTCCCTTCGGTTCACAATAAGTGATCATTTTTTTTAGCACGCCCATTAAGAAAATGCTAAATCCTATACAAAAATATCTAGTATGACTAAACTACCCTTATTAAATATTGGTCACATAATTATAGTGAGGAGTGAGAAAACTTTTTAGGGATATACACATAAGGGTAAAAGAGTAAAAATAAATTAAATTTTTTCTTGATTGCCTAACTGGACATTTATTTTGAACCAAAATAAAAAAGTAAACTGGTCACTTATTGTGAACCGAAGAGAGTATTTTTTTAGCTAAAATGACAAAAATAAACAAAAAGCCAAAACTAGAAATTTTTAACTTAACTTTTAGCTTAAAAGTCACTAAAAAAGGTGAGCATTACGCTTCAGTTGTTGTACCTTTTCTATAATATTTATACAAGCCATTTCAGAATAAAAATTTAGATTTCAACGTAGATTCAGAATTAGGAAGAGCAAGGGACCTACACATTCCCTGATTGGAAGAAAAGCTCACAGTCCCCCCCC